GAGCCTCCCCGGGGGGCGGGGGGCGGACAGCGTGGTCTCAACCGGCGTCTTCCCCTCCGGCCACCAGTGGGCGCGCGCGAGCGCCCCACCACTCGGCTGTCTCCGGCCTTCTGGCTCGCTCCTGCTCGTCTTCCTTTTCCCACCGCCCGCCTCGGTCCCGGGCAGTGGTCGCCACGCGCACGCGCGTCCCGTGGCGCACGCGCACTGTAGGTCTCCTCCCGCGGCTGGAGCCTTTGTCTGATCCTAGGGTTCTCCTCCCTCGGGAGCGAGGCTCGGTTGTCGCCGGGAGTCCGGTGGAGCTGGGTGCCCCGCCCCAGGCCTGCTGCTCCCTTCCTTCTCGTCCACCTGGGATGATACCCAATCTCGGAAAGGTCTTGGGCGAGTTTCCACATGGCCGGCACCTCAGTCCGTCCGCCCCGGACCTCAAGGCCACCCTCAGGTTCGGCCTGTGGGCACCCTGACCCTTTCCCGAATCTCCCGAAATCGTCCCCCTGTTGATGTTTCCCTGGGCCTGCTTCCTGTCAACCTGCTTTCTCTCCACCTTTTTTTGTTATTGACCAAGGTTACTGCTTTCCTTAGCAAATCCTCTTAAAACAGGTTAATTCAGTTGTAATCCAGCAGAGCAGCTGTGGTGATTTTTTTGTGTGTGTTCTTTTTTTTTTAACAAGGAGCGTTGGAATCTATTAGTATTTATCGAAGTGACCCGAGAATAAACTCTTAAATTAGATGAAGGTTCAAAACGGCACTAATCATATTGTAAAACATTTTCACGTATGGTTACTTTTATCACCCTTGGCACGCGGTTCCACTGTGAGGACAGTTGGAGACGAGTTTCTAAGTGCCCGCTGGAGAGTCTCACCTCCGGCCGAAACTGACCAGAAGCTTCCCTTCTCCCAGTCACCCCTTCCCAGCCTGTTAAGAAAGAGACCACAAGCCCAAAATGGAGTTAATTGGGCTAAGCTGCTTCACCAAAACGAAAACCTAATACCTAACCTAATTGTAGTTTCAGCCTCTCCCAGGAGTGAAATTTTAAACCACCAACCAGTCTGGAATTTCCTGATCAACACTACTAAGGTAATCTGCCTAATAAGACCCTTGCCATCCTCTCCCCAAAGCAAGGTGCACTTGCCTGAAAGAATCCTTTCTTTTCGTAATAACGTTCTCATCCCATCCAGTTTTGGCCTCTGAAAACCTTGCATTTTGTATAACTTCTCAGTGCTCCTCTCTACGTGCTATATGGGATGTTGCCTGATTCATTGAGTGCTCAATAAAGCCAATTAGATCTTTAAAATTTTACTCCCTGGAATTTTGTCCTTTAACAGGCCTTAGCTTGGCCTCCCCAACATCTAATATAAGCCCTGGCCTGGGAGGCTTTATATGTATTGGGCTTTGGGGACAACCATCTTGTCCTAGGGGGTTGGGAACCTGTCTTGAAGCTTGTCTGACTGGAACTCTTTCTTCCTCACCTCTACTCTGGGGTTTTTCTCTGCCTATGAAGTCCTTGCTTTTTTTTCCAGGCACCAATATCCTACATAACCTTCAAACTCTAGTTCAAATTTTACCAAAACCTAACCTAATCACCCCCCAATGGAAGGGATATTTTTAAACTCTAGGAGAAGCTTAGCAGTTACTCGTCTTCTCGTTGAAAGTGGAGAGGGGAGTGCAATTAATATTAATATTGATTTATTGTTTTAAATCTCGTTCCCTTTCCTCCTTTCCTGTATGGGGATTGTATGTCCTGTCCTGTTTCCATGTGATCTGGACTGGCCTCCCCCTCCACTCCACTGATATTTGGCCTGGCCATGGGATGGTCTTTGGCAACTAGAACTAATGGGTGTGATACAGACATGTTTGAGCAGAAGTTTTAAGAGGCTTTGTGAGTTTCTACCGCTTTTACTTGTCTCCTCTGCCACCAGCATGGCATGAGGCTGCTCCTTCAGCAGAGGCCCCAGAATGAAAAAACACACAAGGAAATACATATAACATGTATAACACAAACAATAAATAGACACTTACTGAGTCACTGAAATTTTGAGGGTTGTTACCACAGCAAAGCTGACTGATAAAAGGGATTAAGTGATATATATATATATATACATATATATATGTATATATATATATATTTCTTTTTAAAAATAAATTTCTTATACAGCATGTGTTTGTGAAGTTTCTTACACAGTGCCTCACAAATAATGTGCATTCATTAAATAATATAGTAATTTATTTCATCATCATCATCAATGCTTTTGCTACACATTATTTGATTTCTACATGTAAAATAAACTTTAGCAGTCAAATGAACACTCCTCTCCATTGAAATGTCTCATCTTTTCTTTAAGAGCTGACTGGAACCTGATGCCACTGTGGTCTCCTGATACTGAACGGTCACATTTGCCTACGTTAAATTGAGGTAATGAACGCTAGAAACAATCTTAAGCAGATCCATCATTTAACTGTATATAATATGGAGTTGAGTGTTCATTCCAGATAATTTAATCACTGGAGCTAGCTAATGGCTCTGATGGTCCATTTTGGTTCCACAGCCCCAGAAAGGAAAAAGGTAATGAAGTCTTTTAAGGACAATTCCTAGAAACAACTCTTGACAGTCGTGCTAACATTCTATTGGCCAGAATTTACACATGGCCACACTTAGTTGCCAGCAAGACTGGAAAATGTAGTCTTTATTACAGAGGGCCTCGTGACCAGCCAAGGAAGATGTTGAGTAGTAGCCACAATAATGCTAAGAAGCAATCCCCCTTGGTAATTTCTCCCAGCTACAAATGCACAGCCCATTATTTCTTTTCGAAATACTTTCCTGAAAACACTTTTCATAACTAGACATTTTCTAGTGAGGTCTCAGAAGCGTGCCTTCTCAGCGGTGTGCGTGCTTGCAATCTCTGCCACCCACCTGCTCCGGCACCAGCAGCAGCACTGCCGCTCGGCTGTCTCCGGCCTTCTGGTTTGATGACCATTTCTTTTATTTTCAATATAAAGTCAGAGGCCTGGATTCACAGCATATTTAGATAGCCTCAAATGTGTTTGTTCTGCCTAACTGTCTGTTAGGTAGGGTGCTGTGATGACACCTACTTCCTCTCTCAAAGCCGACATAGGGAAATATCAATACAATTAAATTAGGAAGTGAGAATTAACCTTACAGACAAATGCTTCACTATACAAAAGAAACCATCACCAGATTCCCCTAAATGTCAATTGCCCCATTGCAGTTGAAATGTGAGTTGATTTACATGCAGGTTTAAGAACACCTTAATTAGATAAAGCAAGGCAGATCCATGCCTTGATTTTTCTGGACTTAACTCTCAATCATTGTTTAGGCTCAGGTTTTCCTTTCTGTCTTTATATTTCCTGAATGCCTCTTACCCACCTCTACTTCCCTCTATTGCCCTGGTGTGCCATCATCACCCCTGGTCTAGGTTTCCTGGGTCCTAGCAAGAAGCCAGATGAACTGCAGATGAAGGTTTCAGTTACACATGACTCAGCAGCGTAGCTCTGTTGTCAAAAAAGGAAGGATGATCCTGGGGCCCAGAAATAGGACCAGGGCATAATAGGTCCATGAGGTCATCCTCTCCTTATTATTTGGCTTTGCCCAAACACTGTGGATATGCCCACCGAGGGGAGTGTCAGATAACTTAGGGAGTCCTCAGAGGGGAGCCCCAAATATAAACTTGAAAAAGCTGAACAGAAATCGTTTTACCTAAACAATGCTATCAACTGATATCAAAGTACAACATCAAAATCCCATGATTTTCTATTTGTGAATTTGCTTACTTCCTAAAGTGTATTCGTAACCCCCCCCTTTTGCGATTTCGTGGATATGTACAGAGTGGCAAAAAATCTTGATTGGTCCAAGTGTGCACCTTTCCAACTGAGGTCAAAGGCATCTCTCTCTTCTCGTTTCAGCGCTCATCCTGGGAACAAGTGTCCTTTTCATGGTCTGGTTAGTGCCACGCTTTTTGCATTTTGGGTTTTTTTGTTGGTGATTTCGTTGTTTTAAATGGCTGTGTGACGTTTCTAAGCACAAGAAGGCTCTGATGTGCCTCACAGAGAAAATGTGTGTGTTACATTGGCATTATTCAGGCACAAGCTGCAGGGCTGTTGGCCACGAGCTCAACCTTAATGAATCAATGGTATATGTTAAATAAGGTGTTTTAAAACAGAAACACACATAAAACAAGGTTATTTATTACCCGGTTGATGAAAATGTCACCAGAGGCTTGTAGGAATGTAAGCCTGTATTTCCCCTGGGAGTAATGGTTTACTGTTCTCTGTCTCCGTGTTCGTGGGGACTTTATAGAACAGAACTAGTGTGTATAATGGGGATGTGAGTAATGGGAACCATAGTATGGTAGTGAGGGCAAAGGTCCTTGGCACAGCAGATGTGGCCCAGGTCGGCTAGCTTGGTCTTACTCCTCACCATCTCCTCTTTGAACGCTACTATCCAATCACATTATGTTCTTTATAGGTCAATGAATCTCCAAACTCTCACTTTTATGCCTTTCATAAGCCTGGGTCATTCTCTCATCTCTGCCTGAATAACTACTATTTGTCCTTCAAGACTTAACTCTGATACCCACTTCTCAGAAGGCCTCCCCCAAGGCCTCCCTCTCAGGGCCAGGTTTTGGCCCTGAGTCCCGCTTGCCACGCTGGAGTGTGATCATTTGTGTATATGCTGACTGTGCTGTCCTGGAAGGCCTAGGCTGTCTTTTATTCACCTTTATCCCCTCAGCCCAAACATAGTACTCGAAACATAGTAGGTGCTTCATGAACAGCTGATGAGTGGCTGACAGACTGGATGGATAAAAGAATAATTGGCTGAATATTTCTGAGAAAGGTGCTGACTGTGGAGTATAGCATAGCCTGGGAGCTCAGTTTATTAGCAACTCAGAAAAGTGCTAATTTGACTGACTGAAAATACAAAATAAGTACAAACCTAAGACAAAAGATATTGTAGCTCTGGCCTGGTGGCTCAGTTGATTGAAGTGTTGTCCTGTACACCAAAAAGGCTGCAGGTTCGATTCCCGGTCAGGGCACATACCTAGATTTTGGATTTGTTCCCTGGTTAGGGAGCATACGAGAGGCAACCGATGGATGTTTCTCTCTCACATCTATGTTTTTCTTGCTCCCTTACTCTCTAAAATTCAATAGAAAAAACATGCTCTGGTGAGGATTTAAAAAAAAAACAAACCCACAAAATATTGCATAAACCCTTTTCAGGGGACCTGGAATGGAAAAGACCATTCAGCCTGTCTCTTCCGGCTTTCAGAAAGTTCTGAATCATTGTTTAGACTGAACAGCCTTTTATTAAATACCACTCACTCCCTTTTAAGTTCACTGTCAAGCTTTATTGGATTCTGAAAAGGACCAGGAGGAAATGTGGATGGCGAGCAGCAAGGGGCATCTCTCCCTTGCCCCTGTCTTTTGATTACAGGCGATCATGAGTCAAGAGACCAACTAACCGAATAATCCTATGGTAATAATTTTTGTAAGCTTGCGGACATATTCAAGCTGAACTGAAATTGTTCAATTTCTCTTGACATTAGCAAGGATACAGCAGAGATGCATCCACACACGCGCACACACACACACACACTCTCGCTCTCTTCTCTCCCATTCTTGGGTACATTGCTCTTTCCCTGTGTACTTTGCTTGCTACTTATCCTCTTAATTCCAAAAACCCTTTACCAGCCCTTTGTGTACCCCTTTTTACTGCTCAGATCACGGGCGACTTTTTAGGGGCAGGCCCAGGAGATTCAGGGTACCAACTGCCTGTGCTTTTCTCCATCTCCCCCTCCCCGAGACCCCACTGGCTGCCAGCCCTCCAGGCTCTGCCGGCCCCTCATCAGCCTCTCCTGCCATCTGGACTGAGATCCTCACTCCCTCCTTTCTTTGGGGAGAGGGTGAGGCTATGAATGGAACATCACAGTACTTGATGAACAGTAGGTACTTTATGAACAGCTACAATGTTAGAATGAAAAATTCCAGAACAGTGCCCGAGGGCCTTAGAAGCTCTGCACTGACTGTAGGAATTATCCTGTTCAATCCTCTCATCTTACAGATGGGGAAACTGAGGCCTAAAGAGGGAAGGCACTGAGTGATTTAATGGCAGAGCCGATTGAAACTCAGACCTTACAGTTCCCAGTTCAGGGTTCATTCCTCTGCAGCACAATGGAAATGGTGCCCTCGGCAAACTGGAACGTTTTATGAGAACAGGGCTCTGAACTGGGGGAGGTTTTGACACTGTTGGGACACATTTTTGGTTGTCACTGCTGAGAAGGGAGTGTTACTGGTATTTGGAGGGCTCAGGCCACCTGTAAGTAGTTATCAGAAGCGGGTTCTGGTCGTGCCTGTGTCATGGACACGCCTGTGGGACTGCCACAGCTGGGACTATAACCTCATGGCAACTTGCAGCCGGGGAACTTAAGGCAAACTTTTTGTTTTGGTTTGGGGATTTATGTTTGTTTTTTGTTTTCAAAATGTGAGCTTTGCATTACTCGAATATAGGGGTCCTCAAGTGTGGCATAATTTTGGATCACATAGTTTTTGTCGTGGGGCCTGTCCTGTGCATTGTAGGATGTGTAGCAGCCTCTCTGGCCCCTACTCAGTTGATGTCAGTGGCACCTATATGACTTTTATCCCCATGGAGGAACAAGTGAACTTTTTTTTTTGAGGTGTAACTCATATGTCATAAATTTAGGTGAAAAATTTCTATGACTTTGGTTGTCTAGACACCCACTCCTATTCCTCAGCCCCATCCAGGCCTCGCTCATAATTGGTACTTAAATGTTTGACCAATTGATTTGGCTCTGGGCTCTCCTCCAAGAGGCTTTTACCTGGACCCAGTATGAATGTGGGATTCTTGCGAGGTGTGTGTTCATGCTGAGGTCCCTGCAAGCCAGTAGGACTGCTCTCCTCTCCTGGTGAGCACAGAGTCCTGGACTTCCCGGTGCCCTGCAGTTGCATGGGGTCATGTGACCAGTTCAAACCAATGAGCTATGAAAGGAAGTGATGGTGTCACTTCAGGTCTAGAGCATGTGATTGCTTGTGGGAATCCCTCCAGGGTTCTCCATCTGCTGAGATGAGTGTAGGAGATGTCAAGATAGAGCCTCCTCCAGTCAGGTCCTTGAGTGGTTACAGTAAGCTCCAAGCTCCCTCCTGATCCTCAGGATATGTCACATGAGTGGAAAACAAGCTATTGTCAGGCCATTGAGGCTTGGGTATTATTTGTTACTGCACCATAATCTGGTATACCCTGACTGTTACAAGGTGTATATACAGAAATCAACCTATATTCAAAGGAACCATCCAATTCAAACCAGCCAGTGGAGCCCATTCAAAGTTGGGGACAGTCAGGGGTTAAAAAAAGAAAAGCTCGTGAAGTTAATTAACAAATGTTTTATTGAGTTAAAGACACCAGCAAGCTAAAGAAAAAAAAGAACCCAAAACTTGTTTGTGTTATGCTTCAGTTGTTTACATATTCAGGCGGATGAAACAGAGCGTGAGCACAGTGTGTGCCCTTTTTCTGTGCTGAGTGACATGGGGGATTGGCTCTCACAAAGTCATAGAGGGGCTTTTGTGTCCAACAACAGCATCTCAGGGCCCACGTGCTTTGCTTACTCACCCACAATAACTGCTTTCACTTGCAAATCGGGGCCAGTTGGGTTTGGGATATGAAATCCAAATTATGACCAGACTAAAAGAAGAAAAATTGTACTAAACATGATAAATACAGGGGCATATGTCTCTTTAAGGAAGATAAATGTGAAGACCCAAATTAGATAAATCAGAGTGACCAGTGACTAAAGCAACTCCTGTCCTGATTCCCTTGGTGCCCTGAAGTGTTGGCTGTAGTAGTGAAGGGCAGAGAAATGTAGAGCTAAGATTCATTGCCTTTGATTCATTGAAGATCAAAGACATGGAAAGATAAAAAGCATTTTGTAGATAAATGCACAAAAGAGAAAAATGAGATTCGATATTCACATAGTTAAAAAATATCGATGGCTTAAAATTTAAGCCTTAAAAACAGAGCTGAGGCATCATACTTGTGCAGGATAACTTTTCATTACACTTTTTCTTAAATAGTGTAAACATCACATGGAAACTCTTGAGTGATGATTAATGTTTAGGATTCCTTATTGCCAGTGCTACTAAGTAGCTGGTAGAATTAAGCAAAACTCTCAGCTTCTCTGTGCCTGTTGCCTCATTTGTAAAATGAGGGGGTTAGAATAGAAGGCATGCAGGGGTCTCTTAGCTCTAAAAAAAACCTGATTCTTTGAAAAGCAGCTTCCTGGAAGGAAATATGGGCCTATCATTTTTCTACAAATGATGCCTTTCCTGAGACAACTGACCTTCCAAATCTGACATTTTAGAAACTGAAATAACTTTCCTCCAGATACGCTGGGTGTTAGAAAAAAATCATATTTGGCCTGGCCGGCGTGGCTCAGTGGTTGAACATCGACCTATGATCCAGGAGATTGCCTTTTGATTCCCAGTCAGGGCACATGCCGGGGTTGTGGGCTCGATCCCCAGCAGGGGATGTGCAGGAGGCAGCTGATCAATGACTCTTTCATCATTGACGTTTCTATCTCTCTCTCCCTCTCCCTTCGAAGCTCTCTCTGAAATCAGTACACACACACACACACACGTCAGATTTGGCAGCATCCAGAGTCTTTGGTGCCTTAGAAGTGATGGAGGCAGAAGCTGGTGCACTCTGGGCATGTGCTGTGGACGGCAGCTGCTAGTGGAGGAGATAAAGCAAGTGCAAGTCCCCTTTGGCACCATCCCACCCACCCTGTCTGCCCCAGTCCCCGTCCCACTGCCCCATCCAGAGGGAACTTTGACCAGTAGAGGAGGGCATCTTTTCTGACTTTTGGGTTGGCATATTCATCTGTATACATACATTTAAAAATGTATAGCTTTATTTGTGCTTTTTCTTTACATCAATGAGATTATACTTTTTGCGTGGAAACCTTTTCATTTTTCTTCATGTGGACCTATTGCATTCTATTTACCTGTCGCACAGCATTTCAGGGTCAGATGCACTATATCATTGAGCCATTCCTGTGTTGGTGCATTTGCTCTGTTGGGGCATTTAGGTTGCTGCTGGTTAGTACAATAGTGTGAACACCCCGGATATAAGTGTGAGGATTCTGATAGGGCAGATACTAAGCCGTGGAATTCAGGTCGGGGAGCTCACACAGTGAAACTGTAATGAGTAACACTACGTGCTCTCCAAAAAGGTGGCTTCAGATCACACTGCCACCTCCTCAGCAGCACCACCTGCAATGCCGAGCTCATTCTTTATAATCTTGCCACTCTGTTGGCAAGGGGTAATCTCTTTGTTGTGTTTTGTTATGATCGCTGTAGTAATTGTTTACCTTTTTGTTCTGTAAGAAGTTTATGCTAAAAGAAAAGTTGTGAAAATACAAAATTCTCATAGACCCTTTACCCAGCTCCTCCTAATATTAGCATCTTACCGAACCATAACACAGGGCTCAAAACTAAGACATTAACATTGGCATAATGCTGTTAACTGAACTGCAGACTACTCAGATGTCACCAATTTCCCCACTCGTGTTCTGGTTGCTTCAAGTTTTGTTTCCCAAATTACTAGAGAGATTGAACATCTTTTTGTATGTTTTTGGCCATCTGTGTTTCTTCTGTAAAATGCCTGTCCAAATTCTTTGCCCATTTTTTCAACTCCTCTTGGATTGTCTTTTTAATGGTTTGTAGAGGTTCTTTATTTTAGAACTCTTCCAATCCCACACAACTAATTAGTGGCTGATCTGGGAAGAGAACGCAAGTCTAATCTATTTGCCTATTTCCATGACAAACACCCTGTCCTCGGTTCTCCAGCTTCTCAGTTGCCTCCTTTCTCCTTTGGCCCATGCTCAGTGGTCCCCAGCTAGCAGAGACCATGTTCTTATCAGCACCTGTCAGAGAAGCGCAGTTGGGCTGGGGCTGCTGCTTCTCATCTCACTCATCATTGCTGAGCTAACTACGCTAGAGGCCATTTGGAGTGGGCTTTTCTGGACACCAGCTTCCTTTCTGGAAAGTCTCATCTCACTTGGCCCTGAGACAGGCTGCACAGAACACTGGCTGCTGAAGCCCAGGAATGCACCATTTGGCTGACTGTCCCCTCCTTAATTGCTATCCTGGCAATCATAAAACCTCCTGCACTAGCAGAACGGAAGCTGCAGAAGGGAGGGCATGTGCATCTCGAGAGCTGCTGGAGGCCTTGCAATTCCCAGAACGCCATCCAGGGCACTCAGACCCCTTCAACTCTCCCATCCTCCAGCTGCAGAGCTAGGTGAGCGCTGCCATTGGGGGGGAAGGCAGGGAGCAAAGGCAGCACCCTTCTTGGCTGCTCTGGTCTCACCCAACCATTGGTTCCTTGAGAATAGAGGCTGTCTGTGCCTTGTTTCTTTGATGTTCTCTTTTGGGCTCTAATAATCTTGTCATTTGTTGTTATTGTAGGCAAGGAGTGAGTGAGGCTCCTGCTGCTGGATCAGGAAACACTCTGAGACCCTCTGCTCTATAGTGGTGCTTCTTAAACATTAACAAGCACATGAATCACCTAGAAATCCAGATTCTGACAACCCTTTGTAGTATCTGATGTGGCTCTCTACGCCTTCCATCTCCAGCCACAGCTGGTGGAAC